CATATCCGTGGTGTGTCAACCTCTTAAGCAATTTCGGTGTTCAAATAGTGCACAATATCAATATCAATATTGTGGCCTAATTTTTACTTTTTTTTTTTTGAATCCAAAATTTGTTTTTTGTTGTGACAGTGCATTGGCTGCTTCCCATGAGCAAACCAAATGGATCCAAAAGGGTTGGTTCATATTTTGCTTATGAGAGGATTTGAATAGTTGGAGCTATTTGAATTTTTTTATTTTTTTTTTGGCAACTGTTGTCCATAGCATTTCAATGCACCATGCTAACCCATTAAAAGTATCCTGATTCTTTAATAGGATGCTTGGCTTCCATTGGGAATAAAATTGTTCAATCTGTTTTTAGTTTACGATTTTTTTTTTAAATTTAATATTGTCATTTCTAAGTTACTGAAAATGATAAATGATAAAAACATATATACTCATTTCTTATTGCAGAACATTTGTTTTGTCATATGGTTGCTTGGTCTAATTATTAGTTCCCTATTATTTGTCATATGTCATTTTAGCTACCATTTAGCAGGTTTGTTTATGTAGTGTTGATTGAATCTTTTTTTCTTCAATTTCTTTATGGATAACTGAAAGAGGAGTGTAGAGAAGTTGGGCATAATTGTTTGTGTTTCTTTATGGTTTTGATTTCATTTATATGAATATGACTTGTGTTGAAATCTCTATTATTAGAATCATATGATTTGCGATTTGATTCAATGAGTAATCAATACGAACAGGTTGTATGAATCGCAAATAGCCATGAATCATAAGTGAATCGGTGAACCAAATCGGTGAATCGTGAAGTGAATCGATTCGCTTTGCTAAAATCGATGTTTGACTTTCCTTTTTAGTTTTTTATTATTGGAAAAGGGTTCGCACAACCTTTTCAAGGTCTTTAGGATTACTGTATGCCATCTTTTGACTTTGTCCCTTCCTCTTTTGTTAGTTTTTCAAATCTCTTTATCCCCTTAACATTATATCCATAAGTTAGTGGAGTTTTGTTAGTTTTATTTATAGATTTATTTATTTTTGCTGATGTTGTTGTTGAAATATATATAAAATTAAGATGAATCTTCCTTTCGAATTCTGCAAACCCTTCAGCTCTTTTATCTATGTTGGACACACCCACCTTTTATTGTTGTAGTTTTCTGTCTTTTTATTTTTTATTTTATATTTTATTAGGGAATTAGTTTTAGTATGAAAGATCTTTTCTCCTAAAATCAATGCACAATTTTTTGTTGAGTTGGAGTGTTGTAGAGAAATTATCGATTCATGTAAGGCTGATGTTTTTATTCTTAATGCTTTGTACATGTTTTTATTCTTAATCAAGATTCCATCCCTTTTTTTGCTTCTATTTTTTATTTTTTGTACATTCATGATGTTGTAAGTCGATGATTTAATCTTTTACTCAATTTCCATAGTTCAAAGACCAACTTCCTCATATCACTTGGAATAAATTGCAACCTATTTCCTGTTATTTTAATTAAATTTATTGTTATTCATTCCATTCTACCGATTTCAGTATAGTTTGCAACAATTGAAGTTCAAAATAATTAGTTTTACCACTATAATTTATGCTACTAAAATGTTCACCAAATGCTTGATAAATTGTTTGTCTATTTGATGTGTTTGATGTGTTTATTAATTCACAGGGAATGGAATGTGAGGGGGAGATTAATCGAATGATCAAACTTTCGGTTGAGGAAAAAGTTTCCCTTTGCTAAACTTTTGACTGGGGTGAGGAAAAGTTTCCCTTTGCTTGACTGGGTTGAGTTTATGAATTTATCTATTTTTTGGATAATTTTCTCTTTGCTAATTATTTTTATTATTATTTATTGTTTTTGGGAAAGACCAAAAAAATTAGCAGTTTTTTTTTTTTTGTTTTTTGTTTGCACTACTTCCAAATAGTTTGAATGCTCTCAATTGGATCTCAGTTGTGAGTTTATGAAATCTTTCTTTTGAGGTTGTGGTTTGAAGATTTTTGAAACGGATGCTCCTTGCATTGTGGTGCCAAAGATATCCATGAAGGTTATCAAAGAAAGAGCATTTTTCTTGGTCAGTAAATCTCTCTCTTTTTTCCTCTATATGGATGTGTCTTTGAAACATTTTTTTTGATATATAGTAGTTTCTCGTGTGAACCCCACATGTGTCTAGGTGCATAAAATATTTGCTACATAGATTAAAAAACAAAGAGGGTGTGCGGGTGTGGAATGTGGGAGAGTAGAGATAGAGGGAGGCAAAAAGTGCAGATAAATGAATAAATTGGTGTGAGACATATTGCATCTTGAAAAGTTATCTACCTATATGCTGAATTCCATGTCTCTAAAAGATTGATATTCTCAATTTTAGAAATTAAATATATTTGTTGAATCATTAGTGCTTGATGATGGAGGGAGGCATTTATAAACATTAGTGCTTGATAATGTGTTTAAGAGCTAAAATCTAATAATGTGTTTAAGAGCTAAAATCTAATAATGTGTTTAGAAGCTAAAATCTAATAATGTGTTTAGAAATTTCAATTAGTGCTTGATGATTTTTGCTTTTGCAACTATTATAAACAGTACTTGATGTTTTGAGATTGGTGTAATCCATAGACATATATGCTTAATTGGAGGGTTAATTGATTGCCCAAAGAGAGGTGGTTTCGTTGATTAAGGTTTAGTTTTTATTTTTTTTACTTTCTATTTTTCTCTTTCTCTGTAATTGGTTTATTAACTAAGCTTTAGCAAGAGAGAAGTGTAATATGAAGAGTTTGAGACTTAAGCTTAGGAAAGTGAAATGAGTGTTGTAACTAACTAATATTGCAATCATTAAGACTTAAGTGTAATATATTCATGAGTTTGCTAATCACACATTTTATTTAACTAATTGATACATTTTTCTTGCTAGACTTTAGGCTTTGATACACTTCTTAATTTTGCAAAATTGGGGGTGAGTGGAAGTGCACGGATTTTTATTTCCATGCCTTATTCTTTTTAAACATTACCTATCAATAGTTGACATAAGAGATGGTTTGTTAATATTGCAATCACTGAGATTATATGGGAGATTTTTGAAAATTGCTAGATGTAGAATGAGGATAATTTTTTTCGAAACCATGGAATATGTGTTGGATATTTGATAGGAATACTCATATTCCGTTTTCTATTTAGTTATTTCTCTCTTCATTTCTCTTGGAAACTATCTTACTGTTAACCATTATATCAAATCCGTTCACTGTAAGAATTGAGTGAATAAGAATATCTCATGCCATGTTATTACAACCTTTAAATTTCGTGTTAATTGTCAAAGTCTTAAATATGTTAATCAAGTCACTTAGAGATATTGAGGAACAAACTCTAAAATACACTCACAAAACTATATGAAGATGTGAAGGAATAGAGTTTCAAATCTGTTTTGTTCCTTTATAAAGGTTTATATGGCAATCACATAGATTACACAGAGCAAAAAGATATAGAGAAATGAAAAAGAAAGATCAATGTCGATGGTGTGAAAACGATTTATTCTTCATCATTTGAATACCACCAAGCAATGATCACCAATTGATGAAACATATGTTTCTCTCCTCACAATATCTTCCCAAAAATTAGGATTGCAAGGAAGATTTGGCGGTATTGATTGAATTTGCCAATAGATGGTTGAAGGGTTGCAATGGTAGTGGCTTAGAGAAAAGAGTAATAGCAGCTGGTGGCAGTGGTTTTTAGTAGGTTTGTAAGTGGTGCGCTACTGATGAAACAATGGTACTTGTGTATAACAACATGGTGGTGTGATTGTGGTAATGCTGTTGGTATCGAATGATGAGGCCATGGTAGTGGAGTAGAAGTTGAGTAGTGCACCATTGCGGAGGTGTGTTGCTACAAAAAGACAAAAAGTCATAAGAATGAGAGAAAAAAGCATATATAATTTGATTAGATAAAATAGGGGCAATTTGGTAAAATTATAATGACATCAATGGATAAAATAGTTAATGGGTGTTTGACTTTCCTCATTTGGTGAGTTTTTTTAGTTTATTTTCATTTCTAATGATTTTTTTTTTTAAATTTTAAAAATCTTTAAAATTTTAAATTCAACTCAATGACACGATTCAAAATAGTGGATCTTTTTTAAAACTTATTTTGACTTATTTATTTTTTGTTTGAATTTTTTTTCTTTTTAAATTTATCTTTGCAAGACAAATTAAAAAAATTAAAAAAAAAATTGGCATAATTTTTTTAAAAAAGTTACTAAAGACTAAAAAAAAAAAAAATCAAAAAATGAGATTATTTTTTTAACCAATAAATAAACTTCCTAAACACCACCACATGCTAAATTTATAAGACTGACTGTAAATTTTTAAAACATCATAGGAAGTTAGTTTAATTTATCTTATAATTTTTTAAAAAATGATTGATCCACAAAATATAGGATGCTCGACTCTGTCTGAACTACATGACACCCTCCAAATTTAAGAAAGACCCATGCATTTCACTCTTTTTAATAGCAGCTGTCCCCCTTGACTCGTCAGGCGACCTCCTAAATGATTAGTGTCATTCTTGTCAACCGTAATTGTCACTCTTATCAACCGTAACTGTTACCTTTGATTGGTCAGATAATTGGTGTGTCAAGTGGCATGTACAATTGAGCTAACGGGTGAAGCCCACACAACTTTGGGGCAACTAAGGAAACACATAAGTAACACCTTTCACCTCATTTGGGCAATTTTGACTAGCCCAAATTCAATAGATGTAGCATTATTATAATTTTTAACAATGGTTGTTAAAATGTAAATTATTTTGTTAGAGTATCTTTATGGGTGAATAAATTTTTTTATCAAATTTAAGTAAAAGATTAAAAAAAAGGGCCACGCACCAATAAATCCCAAATCTTTATCTTATGTTCCATTTAGTCCTACCTTTTATCTTATGATCCAATTAGTCCTAACATAATGTTATTGACAACTAAACCCGTGTTACACTATTTTTTAGGCGTTCTAGTAAGGGTAATGAAGTAAACCACCAACGGCGTAATGACTTTAATGCCCCAAACCTGTCCTCTGTAGAAATTTGTTTCCCTCCAAACAAACCCGTAATCGAAGAGTCGTGTGTGGAAGCTTGAACAGTTCTCCGATGTTAATGGCGCGATGTTAGGCGTGGGAGTTTGAGATTGTTGCTTGACGATGTGAAATTCCTGTCAATAGAATAGCATTTTTTGATTTACCGCAATCCCTAGCAAATACGGAAGCCCCTACGCTGTTGATACATCAACTCCGGCGGTGTAGGTGCTTGTGACGGTGTTGTGCTTCGAAGTAGCGAGCGGAAAGTCTTCGTAGGCCTCCGACAATGGTTCCAGGTACGGTAATCGTCTCTGTACATAAACCCTTGCTTTCATTTACATTACGAGGTTGTGGAGTTATGGGTGATATACTAAGGGAACTGGTTAATGTTGTGGGATTTGTAAAATACATGAAATTGTGAAATATGTACACTGATGTAGTGTTGTTTTTTGGGTGCGATTTTGAGTAATGCATGCGTCTTCTCGGAAAGTAGGTTGTCAATGTTCTTGGCCTGTTAACTGGTGTGTTTTTTTGTGATTTTGTCGTAATGTTACTGCGGTGAATGTGAATGAGATGGTAATGCAATTTTATTATCAAGTGCGTACTGGGTTTCCCTAAATTTTTTGGGGGGGGAAGGGGGGTTGAGGGGAAGATGGTTTACCTGTTCATGTACCTGAGGGGGGTTGAGGGGAAGATGGTTTGGTGGTGTATACAATCATGTACCTGTGGGGGTGTGCATACTGTGTTTTTGGTCATTTTACATTGAAGAAAATTGTAATGTTGTGCAAGATTCATGTCAGTGCTGTATTTGCAAATTTCAGTTTGGGCCCCAATTTTTTTTTTTTTTACGTTTTGGTGTCCAATGCTTAGTCTTAATCATGTTATGTAGCGTGTTTGACAATGTGAAAGTCATACTGAAGTGGTGACACATTTGTATTGTTGTTTGATGCGTTGACGTAATCTATGTAGCGTCACTTTAATGGTTGGATGTTATTGTTGAAATGCGTAATTACAGTTCGTTGGATTTGTACAAAATGTAGTACAAAACAATAAAATTAGTTAGTTGGGAAGTGATAGTGGTTAGTACTTGATAGTGATGCATGCAATACGAACTCGTTGCCTAGTGCGTGATGAGATAAAAACCAGAGTTTGGCTGTCTGATGTTAATGTTTGTGTTCCAATTTTACATTGATGGCATGACATGGGGCATAAAAGTCTGTGTTCTTCTGGTAAATTGCCTGATGGTGGAAAATGTGGCGGTTTAAATGATTCATTTTTTGCATGGTTATTGGTAGTTTTAATTTGTTTCTGCTGCTTTGCATGTAAAACATGTTCAGGTAGCAGTGGCAGCAGGACTGGTAAACGGAAACTTGGGTTAAGGTCACCACAAACATCGACAAGGCAAGCCAGTAAAAGACAAGCGAAGCTCCCATTCAAGAAACAGAAAGGGCCGGGTGATCCTGTTCGGAGAGGTTATGTTGATCCGTCGAAATTAATGTACCGGTCAAACATATCCGGGCTGATTAGCACAGTTCTGGAACTGGAATTACGTGATGGCCACATCAGACAGTTGCAGAGAACGTCATTCTGGCTAATGATTGATGTTATTCGGGCTAACGACTTGGATCCTAAAATGTTCAAAAAATGTGATGCGACAGTATGTCGGGTAATACAAACTTACAACCCTGAAGATGAGAAATTCAACATCGGTGGAGCTAAGTTACCATTGCGCAACAACGACATCAGGTTGATCTTCGGCATACAATGTGGGAGGGAGAAATTGGATATGACACATGGTGGGAAAGGGCCGTCTGATTTCATCCAAAGACGTTGCGCAAAAGTTAGCCGAATTTCTTCAAAATTAATAAAGGACTTGCTGGGAGAAGCAATATGTGGTCGTACAAAGCGTGACGAAGAAGATGTGGCGAAATTGCTGTGTCTTTATGTGTGCGCCAAGTTATTTTTCGCAACGACCGGCGAGCATATAGGTTGGGCATTTGTCCGTGTGATCGACAAACTGGACAGATGGAACATTGCAGCCGCTGTGGGGAAACTAAGAGTAATAAATTTGTCGTCAGAAGGTTGCTTTGAGGTATGGAATTAGAACCCTTTTAATTGTTTTTAAAAAATTTCCAACACCAAACATTGAAATTGTGCTACGTTTTGATGGTAATTTTGCTTAGGTCCACTGTGCCAAACTTGTTGGGACGATTAATGAATGTCATATTCTGAAGGTGCCTGCTGCTGCTATTGAAACAAAAGAATGTGGTAGAATTAGGATGGATGTGGAACCACCTGGAGTGTGCGATGAACGCAGGGCTGTGATTGAGACAGATGATGTTGGCAGCGTCGAGCCGAGCTTCAATTGTTGGCAGCCGGCCAAAAAAACCAAGGGTGACATGCAAATTGAGGGGGGCAATGACTATGATAATAAAAATACTGGAACACCAACCAGCAAGGAAAAAGTAGCTGGGAAGCTGGTGTCACGTGGAGATGTTTTGCCGGTATTGTTCCCAGATCTTCTGGAACTGGCCAGCACTCCAGATGGTGAAGACGTGGGTGAGGAACAAAGAGGGGTGCACAATGAGCTGCTAACTTGTAAAGTCAGAATTACTGAATTAGAGAGCGAGATCAATATGAAAGACGTACAGATATGTGAACTGGAACAGCGTGTGGAAACACTGGAAAAACTGCTCGGGCGGCATGCTGGTAATTTGTTTGCAAACTTAAATACTGTGATTGTGGATAAGGATGCAGAAATTGCACGGCTCACCAAGCAGGTTGATCGATTGGACAAAAAAGTAAGCAATTTGGAAGATAGTCTTGATGACCTCGAGGTGCACGAGGTGACACAATTTGCTGTGAATGATGGATCCAATCAGCGAACACCAAGTAATAGTGTGTCAGGGAAAGTGAGTGGGTCTGCCAATGTGACGAGTTGCGAAAGTGCGCAGCAGTTTGCATGTCCTACAGGGCAACCCGAAGACGTGCGGATCAACGAATTACAACTTGTTGACAATGACCCTGGGATTGAAGATTTGACCGATGACTTTGCAGATGGGATTTTGCATACAACTGTAGCAATGGGTGAGGGTAGCTGCAGCCCCATAAATGCACAGACAGTAGCTGTTGGCAATGTAAAAGATGGTGCAGCTGTCGTTGTTGTAGAAGGTCATTGCGAACACACAGCAGGTGCAACAAGTTCTGGGCCGAAAATTACGTCACTTGTGAAAAGGGTGAAGAACAAGGCAAGACGGGAATTTAGGTTATCAGACTACGAATATCCCGGCATATTTGGGCGTCCACAGGTAAACACCAATGTCAGACTTGGTAAATCAGTTGAACTAGGGGTGATTTACAGTGTTGAGGACGTCGAGGTGGAGCGTAAAACCTGGAATGGCTTCGGTCTGAATAGGCGGCACACTGTGTGGAACATGCTGAAGGATGAAGACCGGGAACTACTACAAAGAATGTACACTTTAGAGGGGGACGGGTAGGTTGTTCGGATGGACTGTTGTATGGTTTGACATGTACAACTTGCGAAACTATCCTCCACGGTGGTTCTGAATTTCGATTTATGGTTTGCAGGTTAATAGTATGGGATGGTGGACACAATGGAATACAAGTTCATTTTACGGACATCAAAGATTTGGTGCAGCAGAACTCCATACACGGCAATGTAAGCTGGTTTCGTGTAACGAATCGTAGAGTATTTATTGATTCTTTAATTATTTTAAAAAAACATATGCAAATCTGACCATTGCTTCCTTTGTGAATTGAGTGATGTGGCAGTCGGAAAGGGCAAATGAATTTTAAAACACAGTGAACAAAATGTAAATGGAAATGTAAATTTACAAAGTTCTTATTGCTATTATGCTGGAATTGTAATGGGTAACATATGTTGCAGGTAATCGATGCGTACGGTGCAATGTTGACTGAAATGCATAAGATGGTATCTGGAAGGGCAGAATATGTTGGGACATCGTACATTTACACTAGTGTTTGTTCAGTATGTATCTTCAGTTTTATTTTACTGCCCGAAATCTAAAAAAAATATTTGCATAATAAAACCTGATACGAATACGGTGGTTTTCGACAATTGTGCAGGATATGATGCGAAACAGTAGTGCTGTTTCCCGAGCGAAGTATTTGAATGTTCACATGAAGGCTGCACGAGGTTGCAGATACACAGTTATCCCAATCTACAATGCCAACCATTGGACAGTCATGGCGTGCGATGTAGAAAGTGGGAATTGGAAACATTACAACTCGATGCGGCCAAGACGTGGAGTGCGCGATGAGCACTACAATGAGGCTCTAAAAGTTGTAAGTGCTGTTTTAAAATTTCAGTTTTGAATGTGCATGATGGGCAGAATTTAATGTAGAAAATGTTAATGTTACTGTGGGCAAAACTGCACTGACATGTGGAAAATGGACAGAAACAATGGGTGGCTGATCACCACAACAAATTTGTGAAGCCTCGAGTTACAGCTGCAGCTGTTGGGTCAGAGCTGTTTGATGGCAGTTTTGTATCTGTTGTGGATTGTCCACAACAAGTTCCAGAGTCGTAAGTAATGTTCATTTTATTTTGAGCAGACTATGTTGATGATGTATCACGTCAGTGACGTTGACACCGGTGTTTGTGAGTGCAGGTCAGATTGTGGGATTTTCGTGTGCTTTATAATCAGGCAGTACGTACGTGGTGCAGAAGTGAATACTTTGATGGACGGCCTGACCCCAACTGGGCTACGAGCTGCAATGGTGGAAATGTTCTTAAGTGACCCGGGCAGAGGACTCCGTGGGAGGACATTATAAGAGGTTGTGAAGACATTTGCCAGCGCGCAAGGTGCAACAACAGCATTAGGATGTTTTATTGTGTCTTTTCGTATCGACGTATATAATTTTTTGTTAGTTTGGAAACACATAACAGTAGGAGGGAAAAACTAGTTTCCTATACAGTACTTTTTTGGTAATGCAGAAGTGCCCAACGGTTTAATCTTGGGTTAGAATCCAGTACTTTGTGGATATGAATGTTGATATTATTTAGTAAGCTATTCAAATAGTCTCACCTATTGCATGATAACAGTTTCACAGTGCATTACACTTTTATGTCATGTGAAGTAGATTGTTTTTAAATGGCAGATGGGCCTTGGTATGTAAACATGGTGTGATCTATCCAGGAGTTGGGCATGACGACACTCAGTTTTGTAAACCTGTTTTCCACCACGGCAGTATGTGTGGCTTGATGTACATGGAAGTGAACATGCAAAGACTGAGTACGTCGACCACATGCTAAATATGACATGCGAAAAGATTAATTTCGCATTTGCATCTTAATCAGAATTGCGATGATACCATGTTGAGCGTAACATAAAATTACCTTCGCATTCAATTTATTTTAACGCAGTTGGTACTGGGTACATGTTTTGTGCAATGACAATGGATTGTAAGCAGCCACCCAAACATTAAAAATCCATTACCGTTCCGGCTACAGGTTGGCAGAGTCTGCTTTGGGCGAATGTTCTGGTATGATGTGAACAGATTTGTAAACTAAAACGGCACCAATTCCTCTTTTCATGTCTTCACAGTGTTAATCAAAGCCAGATTTGAAAATTAAATGGTTGTGTTTCAAAGGAGCAGTGTTAGTGTTCAATAGTGGGGACAAAAAATGAATGTCGTAATAAACAAATTAAACCAATAACATAAAGTGGATGACTGGTTTCCAAATCTGTTATCATGTCCACAGATTTCAAACAAAAACCGGCACCCATTAACTCTTCTCATGTGTAGACACCGTGATTCAAAACAGATTTGAAAAATAAAAACCATTGGCTATTTTCATGCCTTCACATTGTTAAGCAAAACAGATTTCAAACTAAAATGGTTGGGTGTTAAAGGTGGAGTGTAATTATTCAACAATGGGGACTGAAATTGTTGCTGGATTACATACCAATGTATATCCTACAAAATAGATTAAACCAATAACAGAAAGTGAATGACTGATTGGAAAAAAAACGGGAAAACATTTCGGAAAACAAAATAACCCAGAATCCCAGTTTGTTAACAACCAAATTAAATCATATGGCAGCCCACCTGTAATGGCTCTTTGCATGTCTTCCTATTGTGATTACCCACTTTTCCGCAACGACCACAACGTATACGTTGCACTACCTCCCCCTTGGATGGAATTCTCTTCCGTTTTGGCCGACCGGGAGGACGCTTGGCCGTCGGCGGAGCTATCAAACATTCAGCTGGGTTAAACAGTGGCCTCCCCACTGTTGGGATGGGGTATATGGTTCCGCTATAAGTAGCTCGAAATGTATCAATGAAATATGCAGAGTCTATGGCATCGTAGATGTTTCTCCCACTATTACGGAATGCAACAACAGCATGGGAACATGGGAACCCGTTGATCTGCCATTGAAAACAAGAACATGTCAGCTTGCCGACATCAACCAACACCGATGGGTGGGAGTGGACCTCATAGACATCATCATTAGCCTGGCTGACACACCAAGCCCTACTGTCGTTATACGCTGCCACCAATTTTTTGTCCATTTTCGGTGATATCACACCGTCCCATTTACTGCATTTAACTCTGCGCTCCGCCATCTGCTCCATTATTTGACCCCTTATCATATCGACCAATCTCGTGATAGGGAGATGACGAGCCTCACCAACCCAATTGTTGAAAGATTCCGCAGCATTTGAGCACATCTCCCCATAACGTTGGCCCCTTTTTTTTTTTAAAAAAAAAACCCATTTACGAAGCATAAATTAAAAAGAAAAAAAAAAAAAAAAACTGCAAAAAAACATGTAGGAATTTTTATTTATGCCATAACCCAATGTGCAGGCCGTGAATTACCTAAAATACGCATTAGACCAGTGTTTGGGGTGCAGGTCTTTCATAAAATCTTCAATCACAGCTGGGTTGGCCTTCTTCAATGCCTCCAATTTCTCATTGAAACAAGCAACAGTGGGCGCATATGCACATTCCCGTAACTTCCGCATCAACCCAATTTTGTGCGATGCATTAACATATTTCATTCGATCCCGCAAGTTCATTTGCAGATGCAACAAACAATATGCATGATGGGCTGAAGGGAAAATAATGGGCATAGAGTGTAATAATCCGACATGGCGGTCAGATATGAAAGTCAATGTTCGCCCACCCCCAACAACTTCTTTCAAATTATGAAGGAACCATTCCCAATTAGCTGAATTCTCGGAATCAACAATAGCAAAGGCTACCGGAAACAATCCTAAGACCAAACATGCAACATAAAAAGTTAGGCATGACAAAACTTATACAACCATCCACGAATTTTTTTTTCCGTTGTTGAATGGGAAAGAAACATTTGAAATGTATAAAAATTTGAAGTATCTATTTACTAGTATGTTCAGCAAATAAGCACTAATGGAATAAAGTAACACACCCTTACCTTGATTGGCGTCTTTAGCAGTAGCTGCGAGCAAATTCCCTTTAAATCTACCTTTCAAAAACGTTCCATCCAAAAAAAGCATAGGCCGGCAGTGTTTGAACCCATCTATACAAGCGCGAAATGATATGAAATACCTAACAAAGCTCCCGGTTTTTGGGTCAAACTCAAGATTAATGTAACTATTTGGGTTTTTTTGCATAACAGAATTGCTATACCACCTCAGCTGATCAAAGGATGTAGCGCGATCCCCGTACACCTCGCCCCTAGCTTTCTCAACACCCAACTAGGCCACCCGGTAGCTAATATCCAAACCATACTCGTTCTTCAAATCAAACACAACATCAGTGGGCCGCGTCAACGGCTTATCGCGCACTCGATCTGCAACAACGGTAGACACCAAATCAGACCCCGTATGAGGGTTCCTAGAAGTACGTACAACAGCCCCACAAGTATGCACACTATCAAACCTCTTAACGCAAAACACCCCACTTGACAGTAACATCCTCGCATGAACTGACCACTGACAATCTGTTGAAGCCGCAAACTTACACACTACCGTAATTCGCACGGAGTCATTTTTAACGTACTTAAATTGAAATCCACGTTCAACAGCATACTTACACAGAACTTCACGAAATTCAGCTGCTCCACCATCAAAACATTGTCCCACATGGGTAATACCATGCGCCCATTGCGCCGAAAAAAACGTCTTCGATTTGTTCGGACAATACGTTGGTAACAAATCCATCTGCTCATTCACGAACCCATTCCCGCTAACATGCCGTGATATTCCCCCATCGTCCGCGAAATCCAACACGACACGATTACCCCCCACACCAACACTACTTTCCTGAATGACGACCTCAATGTGATTTATCCCGAACGACTTAGCAAGGCACAACATGTTTTGAATGTCGTCGTCGCTATCCACCTTAAACTTCTTATATCCTGGAAAATCAAAAAACAAACACACCGCACCTGGTACCAATCCATCGAACTTCCCACAAATTTCATCAACAATCTTCACATACGACGAATCGTGATGCAACCGAATAAGAACATTAACTAAACCATACGAACACACCAGCAAAATTCCCCCTTCCATACCTGCACACATTTTGGAGAACCCATTACGCCTGCAACATACCCATGAAACAACCATAACAGAACAGTATGTGTGCGTTTGTTGGATTAAACACAGCATTGCAGGAAAATTTAAACAACCCCAAACGACCATTCCAGCCATTGAAATAACCAGGGCACCCATCCCATACTGTTCAGAGGAAACTTAAAAAATTCTGGAAAAAAAAAAAACGTTTACCCAGTGGCTTGAACACAGCACTGCCACCGCAGGAAGACACCAACTTGAAATATCCAGATACAGTGCGAAGAACAGCAGTGGTCGCTGGGGAAAATGACGGCGACCAACGGAAAAATAGCTCTCACCGTATTCTGCCTCCATGAAAACAATGGTGAAGTCAATGTAAATGAAGGAAACCAATTGTAATGAAACTGAAATGGTGGACAACAACAACAAAGAATCAGAAAAAAATGTCAATCAAATACATAAACAATGAAAGAAAATGATAGGCAGTCAGCACGCAAGTAACCGTTTCTGAGAGATCGCACAAATGGTGAAAAAAAAGTTAATCAATCAAGATCATCCCCATTAAAAAACGTTGAATGCAGAAAATCACCCGTAATGCATCGTAAATGGTAGACAAAACATGGTGCTCACCGATTTGGGTGTCCCAGAAACAGTGCCAAACGTGTTAACCAACAAACAAGTTGAACATTACAGAACTCAATAGCATTCACCAACAACTGTTCAAAGAAAGATTCTTGAAAAGGGTATTGACGTAAAAAAACAATGGATCAAATCAAACCCCCCAAAATCAGGATATTAAATAGGACTAAATGGAGCATAAGAAAACATTTAGGACTAAGATGAAGAGTGGAAAGCGACTCTATGATATTTTCGAAACAAGCAGTTGTCACAAGAGTTCAATTTTGCATCTTTGGCAAAGGGAATAAGAGACTTCTTTGCCAGAATCTATATCCCTTTTTCACTCATGTGACCCAGCTTTTTGTTCCACAAATTTGGTGATGCCTCATCTTCTGCTGCGTTGAGGCTATTTGAATTTACCTCCACATGAGTCTTACACAGTGTGCCAATCGTTTGTCCTCTGGCTACCACCAGAGATCCCTTTTTCAACTTCCATATGCCCTTGCCGAAATAGTTCTCATAGCTTTGTCAATCTAAGTCTATCCCTGAGATAAGATTCAGGCGCAAATCAGGAACATGCCTGACATCTTTTAACACCATCATGCACCCAACTTTGGTTTGGATGCGAACATCACCGATTTCCACAATCTTTGAAAAACTAGAGTTGCCTATCTTCACTGTACCAAAATCTCCAGCTTGGTACATACTGAAGAACTCCTTCCGGGGTGTGGCGTAGTAGGAAGCTGCTGTATCTGCCACCCACTCGGTGCTGTTGTCTGACATATTGAGGCATTCTTCTTCTTCAATAGAGAATAATGCAATATCCTCTGAGACAGTAACTGCAATGTTCCCATCTTCAGTCTTTGGCTGTTTATTGCTTTGTTTTTGTTCTCCCTTCAAGGCATAACAATATTTCTTTATGTGACCCTCTTAGCCATAGTGGTAACTCTTGAACCTTGGCCAGCTCTTAACTTATCTGGACTTTCCTTTGTCTTGAGATCTTCCTCAACTAGGTTCTCTATTTTTTCTTCTTCCTCTACTTCTGCCTCTGCCGCTACCTTTGTCTCTATTTTCTGTGATGAGGGCATGTGACTGATCTTCATCCATGTCTTTCTTTCTTACCTCTTCACTGAATAAACCATCAGTTCATAGTCAGTCTTCCTTCAAGTGCAAAGTTGTTGAAAGATACTACCAACGTCTCCTAATTGTCTGGCAAGGAACTGAGCAGCAATAGGGCCTGCATTTCATTATCTAGCTCCATTTTTACAGTTGCTAGTTGGTTCACTTATAGCGATCTTGAGTTTTCCCCTTTATGTACAGTATTCTGGACTTAGGTTCCGCGGTTGAGTATTGTTGCATTTGTTTTATTTCCGTCTTTTAATTCCTTATATTTGAATTTTAGGATGTGTTGGGCAGGTTTGTATCAGGTTGGGAGTGTTTTGAAACAAATGGTTGCTACCCAAATTTTGGTGTCTTCGCTCGAGTGAGACTTTTGTCGCTCGAGTGAGCTCTGTGTTTTAGATCCTTCGCTCGAGCCAGGGTTCCTTCACTCGAGCGAGAGTTGAGTGATGTGTCTGATGGCTCGAGCGAGAAGTCTTGTGCTCAAGCTTGTGTCTGCGTCTGGTTCTGGACCTGAAGGTTGCAATTCTTCGCTCGAGCGAGCTTTCCTTCGCTCGAGCGAGCGAGGTCTATGTTTTGGGTTTCTTCGCTCGAGCGAGCTTTTCTTCTCTCGAGCATGCTTCTGGGTTGCAGACCTAAAGCTTCGATTTGTTGGCTCGAGTGAGGCTCTTTACGCTCGAGCAAGGTTTCTTTGTGTCTGGTCGTTCGAGCGACCACTCCTTCGCTCGAGCGAGCCTCGAATATATCAGTTGGCAGCAGTGGGTTACACTTCACTATTTCATCATCTTCTTTTATACAAACCCTAGACCAACTGCTCTTTCTCTCTCTATATACTTTCTCTCTAGGGTTTTATCTAGTTTTAGTGGTCTTCTACCCTAGTCCCTTTGGAAAAAAAGTAGAGCTTCGCGAGGGCTTTGTTTTAATCCGAAAAGTTGTGTATTTGGAGCACTTTGAGTTTCACCTCTCTTCTCCTTTGAGCTCCGAAAATTAAGGTAGGGATAACCTACTCTATTCTATGAGTTTTAACATAAATTTTGGTCATTTTGATTAAATGGTGTTGCTTAGTCATTTTGAGAAAGCTAGGGATTGATTTGAGGTTATAAAAAGGGGGGTTTTCAAATGTTAAAACCTATGTGTATATGAGACATTGAAAAATGAAATTGTTGTTGTTAAATCGATGAAATTGAGCCTTTGGGCTAATATTGAAAAAAAGGGAAAAAAAATGCCCTAATTATATTGAATAATTAATTTGGGAAAATGTGAAATTGAAGTGAAATTCATGAAATTGGAAAATTGTGAGAGTAAATGGTGTAGTTGGATAATTTAATCACTCACCTATGAAAATGTCGATATTTTATCTGTTGATAAAGTTATTATCTGTTTAGAGATAACTGCTTTGGGCTATCGGTGGAGGATAGTCTTGATTGTTGTAGACATTGTATGATGATTAGGGAAAACTGAAACTAATCACATTGAATATGTCATTGAATATGACGGTTGGAATAATACAGCAAATGTGTGTATTGATTGATCATTGTATATGACAAGTGTTTAAATACATTGTATATGTATATTGTTTGGGAGGAGATAGGGGATGTACTCTATGGTTTGAGAGGATATAGGGGATGGACTCTCAAACCTGTTTGGGAGGAGATAGGGAATGGACTCCACTGATACAGCAAATCTGTGTATCACTTGAAATATAGAAGTGTTGAAGTATGGAAGTGTTTTAATATGAGTTATATTCTCATGTGAATTGTGAAGTATGGAAGTGTTTTAATATGTGTTATAGTCTCATTGAATTGTTTGGCCAGGTTCTGAGCCATAATTATGAATCGAAACTGTATAAGTGAAGGAAACTGAATTGAAAAATGGATGTACTTGATATTGAATTGAAAAGTGTTGTAAGTTGGTTTATAAGTGTCAACCATATGTCGAATGCTATTGTTTTAGTTATTTCTCATACTTGGTTTAGTATATCTCTACTGGGCATTGGCTCACCCTATATGGGACATCATTTTCAGGTTCAGGTGATATGCCACCTCCAAGGACATAGCTTGGGAGGCTTAGAGGCTGAAGATCCCTTTTTGTTGTTTACCTTTTTGTGTATCACATGTAAATTCAAGCCGAGGGCTTAATGTGTATGAGTTAGTACTTCTTTTTTTTTTTGTAACCAAGTGTTGGCTTGGAAAGTTGTATGCCCGTAGGGCATTTGCTTTCGTTGTCAATATGTAATAGTTTTGTGATAAATACTCTGATAAATAGATGTACACTTTATTCTCTTGAATATATTGTCAATTTCTTATATCATGAATGTATGAATTATGGGTTTATTTTGAGGGCGTTACATCACTAGATTTTGAAACTCACTGGTGTGTTCAGCAATGGAGACATCGCCTTTCAACTTCAAATTTACAAGCCTTCTCATTAAGAGGGCTTTATTTCGAGTAGTCTTCGACTGATACATGCCTTCTAATTTTGTCCGTAAAGAATATGCATCAGTTTCTTGGGTGACATGGTGGAAGACACTATGATCAATCCATTGTCTAATCTGACCAATGGTCTTTCGGTTCTTCTGCTTCCAATCTTCATTCTTTTCCGTTGCTGGTTTGACTCCTTTAAGCTTAATGGGGTTAAACAAATCTCGGCAGTACATGACATCCTCAATTCCAGGCTTTCAAATTACGTAGTTAGAAGCATTCAACTTTATCATAGATCCTGAAGTTGACGTTGATTCCTCCATCAATAGTT